ACCTGCTATTCCGTTCATTGTCACACTTTTTCTTCTCGTATTTTTCGGCAATACTCCAATGCGACATTCAATAACTTTTATTAAAGAATGTATGAAAAAAGACTTCTTTTTTTTTAAGGTTAAGAAATGGCCGCCTTTTCTTTCCGAAGATTGTCAAACGGTCAGCTCTTTACGGTAGACCAGGTAAGTTAAGATTCGGCGGAAGTGTTTTTTGTGTCACAATTGTCCAAATATTTTCCTTTTGGTACATTAAAGTGGTGTTATTCAGTGAATATTTGATAGAGTGTCGATGTGAAAATGATTCCATAGCTAAATTTGATTATTTCAAATTCAGTTTCAAATAAGTGCTTTCTAATGTCGGATTTCTAGTACATTTTGTAATTGTTTTAAGTAACAAGGTAGCTGCTGACTTTGCGGGTGGACTATCTGCCTCGTAGCTGTATATTTTATTCCGTGCAGTTTACTTAAGGAATTGCCTAGTAACTGTAACCAATAAGAGGTTAGAACTACAAACACGGCACCCAAACATGTTGTATACAACGTCATCATTTTTAGTGTTGCCATTTTTTTTATAGGTTATTAGATATAACATGAAAAAAGTCTTCCATTGGCGAAATAGAGAAACATTAATGATATGAAAATTCATTCAAGAAAATATTATCTGTTATGGCTTCAATTTGTAAATTTTAACGTTTTAAAGGAATTTATTGATACGATTTCCCGTTCGCTGTCTGGGAACATTTCACGTCAGATATTTATTCCATTTGACCTTCAATACCACTGATGATCCCAGAGCGATGAACTCGACATATGGTGCAGTAAATGCTTTCTTTGTCTGGCTTTGCTTGGCATCAAAGTTTTAATTATGCGCCTTCTTACGCCGCATCGATATTTTTAGTAATTGCTATAGTAACTATGCATGACTTTGACGGTCGCTATATGTAGATCAGTAACTGCTAACTGGTTTCAGAGTGTGGGTTCGTGATATCTTTCTTTGTGTTTTAGAGTCTCCTCGGTCATTTTCTGTCTTTTTGTCCTTGTGTACTGAAAATCTTTACTGTAAAGCGATAAATTGACGCGGTCGTTTTATTTTCGCCCTTAAACGAGGGGGCAACTCTTGTTAAAAAAACACTGTATTTTACAGTTAGCGCATCATTAAAATCCAAGGTTCGCTCTCGTAATCATTTTCATATCTGGAACCTGTTAATGTCATGACAAAGTCCTGTTCATAGGGATCAGAGAAGAAATGTATCATCTATGGTGGAACCCTTGGATACAGCAGCTTTTTTTTAATAAAACTTAGTAATTTTAATTACTATAAATATATTTCAGTTGAAGATGCTAACGATATTTCGCGGGATGCTATTTGTGCCGTTTGGGTTTCGGAGCAATTTTCCGGGGTTTCAATTTCGCAAACGACTGCCAATAAGCAACTGAGTAATTAACTATATCAGAAGTTCGCACGATGAATATGTTTTACATTTTGTTCAAAGTCGTTAATATGAAATGATTAAATGAATGAATGTTTTTTTTTTCGAAAAATAAGAGCTACATACCGTATTATTGTTAATAACACAGAGGTATATATGCTGATGCATCGGTTGATGCTTCACTTACACTTAAGGATTCATCTACCACTGTCAACAAATTAACTAAGGGTTGGAAAACTGTTTCTTTCCGGTATGACTATTCATAAATCATTTCTGAATAGAAAACCATACCTTTCATGACTTTTATGAGAAATAATAAAGATGAAATGAACAAAATATCATCAACAACAGTATATTGAACGTAAACTCATTAGCGGGGCTAAACCGGGGTTTAAATCCTTGATACACTATCGCTGTAACTGATTGAGCTACTAAAGGTTAACGGAAGTGTCCTGCCAAACTGTGCTAACGTTATATCCAAACGGAAGTTAAGGGGAGGTTACTGTACATGTATCCAGGACAATAAACCACAATGCAGTGGGAAAAGGATCCTTAACGGGGGATATGCTTTGTTATTGTTATTTTCTTTTTAAAACGCTAATATTGACTGTTACATTATTCCTTCTCAATTCAGATTAAATCGTATGCAGAAATCAAGCATCATCTTGCTTGTATGAACAATGTGACGAGTGACAGCATTGACATTGTGAGGGGCCCTTTTATCGTAGAGACCAAAGAGGAAATGACGTCACAAAGTGAGATGGCGCTGATCATACACCCCAAGGAAAGACCAATATGTGCCCTTTCTGGAAGTACGGCACCAGACATGTTCGAGGGTTATATGGCGGACGGAGCACGCGTCAAAATGGCCTGTGGTCACGCCGTCAGTAAGTTTTGTATTCACCTAATTTTTTGAACGGTTAACTAAAACGACCTGTTTATTTCTCAACCCCGTTTTCATATGACCCTGACTGTTGCGAGGACGTTAAACCCCGATAATTAATTGTCTAAGCATTTACTTCCGGTTAGTAAATACTAAATATAGATTGTATTCAGGTTCATATAGCACAACGTATGGAATGCTTTCGATGACTAGCGCAATATGTAAGCTGTCACCTTTATCAGACAAAGGACTAGTAAAGCGAATGTACATATGAACATTTCGTCTGGAAATAATTCACCTTTTTAACTTTCATTTGGTACGAAGAAAGGTAGACGTTCTTGAGGAGAGGATTTTCAAGATTGATGATTTTTTTCCAGTTCTCCATAATCTCTCCCGAGAAATACAGTGTCACAATGCAGCTATAACTGTGCAGCAATATTGTCAACCCGAAATTTCCTACTTAAACAATAATCCACTTATTTATCACGCTTCTATCATTTTTTAATTTCGCGTGTAGAAAAGTTCTCATTATTACCCTTTAAATAGGTTGCGGTATAGAAACATTCGCGTTGACAATGGTTCCGAATTCTATATATTCTATATATCTATAATCTATAAATAAATATTCGCATGTGAATATTTTCGCGCTTACTTGCTAAAAACGCGGATATGTCCTCACCGCGAAAATTTCGATTTGCACGGTATTCTGTCTATCATGGTTTACATACAAATGTATATACCTACATATTTCCACTTTTCAGCACCAGACAATCTTTACCGCTTCTGTCTGACGTCACTCAAGGATAGTAACGCAACATTCAGATGTAAGATATGCCTCACGACATGGACGTTTGAGGAAATCACGAACAAGGCTGCTTTGTCTGATGATGAAAGGATCTTCTTCAAACAACGAATTGATCAGATCGCACGCATCACGACTCTTGGCATAAAGCCTATTGACAAAGGAGCTACGAATGACTTATTACGAAACTGCGGAAAAGTGACCATGGGTTACAGCAATATTCCAAACGTTCCAAGCATACGCGCATGCCCTAAGTGCTTCCAGTTCATAGAGCATCTGAAGGGATGTAAAACTATGACATGTTCCTGTGGTAACGTGTTCTGTTTTAGCTGTCTAAAGGTAGGAGTAGGAAATTCACTGGCGTGTGGTTCGTATGGAACTGGATGTCCCGTCGCCCCTGTCCAGCAGATTGGGTAAACAGCTCATGACATCGTGATGCGTATTGTTGTCTTTTCAAAGTGCAATAGTGCAGGTAATACGATGCCATTCAGACTAACATCCATCGATGTCTGTCAGCATTGTCTTATCGTAATTAGATGCCAATTCTGTCCAGATTTGTTATACTTCATAAAGTACTCCTCACAACTGCTGACCAGTCCGTAATTACATACCACTTTGACCAGCATTAGGACGGATGAAAGTTTTACCTGACACACTTTCCTCGTATATGATGCTGACCACAATGCCGCAAAGCCTGCCAGTTTTCCCGTTACGCGACCGCGAGATTCCTTTGATGTACACTAGTCTTCTTGTCTCATCCACAA